GATGAGGAACCAGCAGTCGAGATGGTGCAGATCTGCATGACACCGAATTGGCAAGATCCTATCATCAACTACATAATCAATGGAACACTCACTGCAGAACAATTGGAGTCCAGAAAGCTCCAAATGAAGGCAACAAGCTACTATATGTGGAATGGCATGCTCGTTCGAATATTCTTTTTAGGACCACATCTTCCTTGCCTATCGCCTCTCGACGACCTAAAGATTCTTAGCCCAATCCACGAAAGAGTATATGGAAACCACTCTAGAGGCTGCTCTCTGACACAAAAAGTTTTTAATGCTGGCTATTACTGGCCAACTATGCATCAAGACGCTAAGGAATATGTACAAAGGTGCGATAGTTGCCAGCACTTCAAGCCCGTGCTTGCACTACTTGTCAATGAACTCCACCGCAAACGAACGCTTGGCCATTCATGCAGTCGGCGATTGACCTGGTAAGACCAATGCCACTTGCTACATGGGGCAGATGCATGATGATTGTGGCGACTGACTACTTCACAAAATGGGTCGAAGCTGAACCCATGATTATAACCACCCAGACGGATATAGAGTGCTTCATATGGAAGAACATCATCTGCTACTTCGACGTCCCACACTCCATTGTCACTGACAATGGTTCGCAATTTATAGGCAAAGACTTGGCGAAGGTCTTTGAAAAATATGGCATTAAGCAGCACATGTCCACGCCTCGATATCTGTAGGGCAGTAGGCAGGCCGAGATGTCCAACAAGACTATCCTCAACTACCTTAAGAAAACTTTCTCAGACAAGAAAGGCAAGTGGCCAGACGAGCTCCCCAGTGTTCTATGGACATATTGTACCACCAAGAGACGAGCAACCGGCGAAACTCCATTCTCCCCAGCTTATGGCTCTGAGGCTATCATTCCTCCCAATATCATGATGCCAAGCACCAACACTGTACTACCAAATTTAGAGCAGTACGAAAAGGAGATGACCATAAACTTAGACCTGGCAGAGGAAGAGAGTGAGAAGGTTATCACCCGCATTGCGGCTTATTCTTTTCCAGCTACAACAAGAGGGCAAAAATTCGACAGTTCTAGCCAGGAGATTTAGTCCTAAAAAAAGCCTTCATCATCGTCCGACGGGAAGGCTCCAAAAAGATGACTCCTATTTAGGAAGGTTCGTACAAAATCAGCCGAGTAGGCGGTAAGGGCAGCGACACCTTCACCACTATGAGCGACAAAGAAATCGACAAGCAATGGAATGCCTACAACCTAACAAAGTACTACATGTGACCTCCCACCATTCCTTAGACCCTGTTTAGGACAAAAAAAGTTTGAAGACTCAAGCAACTTGACGAACAAGACCTCACATGCCAAGGATTATCAGTTGTTATGCCGTTACTGCCTACGAGCAAAGTTAATAAAATCCTTTACTTTCAATGAAGATTGAAGTAATTATTCACAAGCCTGGGTTAAATTCATAAACAAACTGACCAACCTTGTGACAAGCAGAAGACGCATGCTGCCCTACAAACATGGCATAAGCGATCTAGCGCAAGACGTTAAACTAATCCCTCAACCACCCCTGTGACAAGCAGAAAACGCCCTTTGCCCGTGCAGACATGGCGTGTACTCTCCAATACGAGAGGGTAAACTAATCCGGAATATCCAGACGTGGATGGGTGGTACGACTGCTCAGTTTCTCCTGAATACAACGTCTACTTAAGCCAGACGACTCCCAGAAGTGGCCACGATAATCCTTCCCTTGGATTCAATTCTGCGGGATCTCGGGTCTCTAACCAGAAAAGATGCTAAGTGTAGGACCCTGCCCATGAAATAATTCGCGTGACAAGATGGTCCGTCCTCAATGTGCAAATCTTCATGAAATGACTTGGTTTTAAAATGTTGCAATACTAGTTAAGCAACATGCGTAATCAAAGTTACGACTCGGAAAGATATGGCCTCTGAGGCGCGATTTCGCCTATACCTCACGCCTAAAACGCCTCCAAGAGCCAGGGACGATGCCTGAGGTGGTTACGCGAGTTGTCTGCTTTTGTAAGTAAAATGCCAACTGACAACCCAACAACTGGCAGCCCAAGGAAATCCATAAGCCAAGATTTACGCCCGCTATAACTATGCGGACTCGCCTACTTACTTAAAAGCAGCGCTTCTGGCCGACTGTCTACGGTTAAGTTTTGCTAAGATAAAGCTGAGGTACAACTATAGTAGCTACACGGACCTTATCTGCTTCCTATGAGAAGCATGAGTTCGGCCGATGACTCTATAAGTTAAAAACCTCACAACATGCCCCTGGAAGGCTAAGGCTCAAGAAGCCACTTGAAAGCTGGAATACAACCATAGTGGCCCCACGAACTTCTCTGCTTTCTACGCGAAGTACATGCTCGACCGTTGGCCCTATAGGTTAAAAATTTCGCAATACGCCCTGAGAGGGCTAATGCTCATGAAGCCAACCAAAGCTGAAACTCATAACTATAGTAGCTACATGATATAACTTGCTTCCTATAGAGGCAACGAGTTTGGCTGCCAGCTCTATAAGTTAGAAATCTCACACTTTTTCTTCTTACAGGTAAAGCTCTAGAAGCCCCGAAGCCAAAGGTAAAACCTAAGTGATGACATGGGATCAGCTGCTTCATTGAGGCAACTCACCCCGTTGACCGTTATAGGATAGAGTTTTGCAAAAACATAGCGAAACAGAAGGATTGAAGCAAAACAAGGAAAGCTATTTATTAAATTTCTAGCAAATTGATAAACTGGCTCAAAGGCTAGCAAAGCTCAAATAAAGCAAAACAAAAAGGAAAAGAAGAAAATTCCTAAGTCTAAGCAAAAAGACTACTCCTTGGCAGCCTACGCAACCACTTGTTCCTCGACTGCCACGCCTTCAGCAGCCGCACCATTCCCAGCAGCCAAAGCTTCCATCTGCTCATCATCAGCCGTCCCTGCCTGGACTGCCTGACCCTCAGCTGCTCCACCAAAGACAGCCTCAAATGAGAAATCAAGCAGATCAACTGGAGAAATGGAAAAAGTCTCGAAGTCCTTCTCGGAAAACTCATAATCTGATGGCCTCCCTGAAGGTGGCCTACATAGCCAAGCTTGTAGAAATCAGCCTGGCAAGAAGCAAGCGCCATTTCGTGACCAGCTTTCTTATTCTTCAGCTGCACATTCTCTTTAACAAGCCTAGTGTGAGCACCCTGCAGCTCAACTAGTTTCTTTTTCAGGTTCTCGTTAGCAGACAACGCACCTTGCAGATCCACTTCCTTGGACTCAAGCTTACTGGCAACCTCCTTGAGATGACACTTCAGCATGCATGAAGATAAACTCTTCGTCCTTGGTAAAGCAAGCAAATTGTAGCTCTGAATTGACACACTCAAAGTTCTCGACCACCAGAGAAACACGACTGATTTCCTTCTCTGCAGCTTCCAACATCGCTTGAGTCATACTAAGCCTAGCATTAAAATGGGCAACCTCCTGATAAGCAATCTCCAGCTGCAAAGAAGTAGGGGCAGAGACATTAAACCCTTTCAAAACGGCAAGTTCAGATTTGAGATTCTCAATATTTTCAGCAGCCGAGTGAAGCTGAGCCACCAATGCCACTTTGGCCTCCTTAGCACACTTGACAGCATCTTGATGAACTCGTATAAACTCAACTACCAGGATCAAGGTCTTATGCATGGTAGCAATCAGGGAGGACCTTCTTGAATAGGCAGGACGTTTCGCAAAAGAGTTTGAGCGGATGACAACTTTCTCAACACTGTCAACAAACTTGGCGCATGCATCGACGTCCTCAAGTAGGTCAACCTTCAGCAACACACAAACCTCGGGAAACTCTCTAGTGATAGTGTAACCTGCAACGTTAGTACTTATTTAACTTGGTCTCCATTTTCTGAATTGATAGTGGGCAAAGGAGTTTTAGGAAAACAAAAATGAACTGAACTCGAATCGAGCCGACAAAATCGGACTGCAGTCAAACAAAACAAAAATAAAAAATAAAAATAAAAAGAAGAAGAAAAAATTGAACCGGGCGGAACCGAACCCACTCCTAGAGATCACAATATAGAGAAGAATCAAGGTAAGGGCCCCAAATTTTTGGAAGGCTTCCAAACTAGATATGCTTTCTATATTAAGTAAAGATGGGAACCAAAAATTAGATAAAATATGTTCTTTGTTTTACCATTGGGTTCTACTGATGAATGGTTGGATTGTGTATACATCTTCGTCTTCTTCCTAAATTCTTCATCCTTTCGTTCCAGATGGTTCTGGAAACATGACCACAACAACGAAATTTACAGTTCTTTATTAATTCAGAAATTCTTCTGGTCATACAATTTTGGCAAATGTTTTTCATTTAGGAATATTTTCTGTTTTACAAGCGGAATCTGCAATATTTAAGATAAATTGGTTTGATTAGGTGAAATACACGAATGTAAAAGAGCTCTTAGTCTATACATGTATACATGTATCATAAATTTAGCTGTATACTTAATAAAGCATAAACAGATCAACTCTTTCTGGAGATTTGGGCTTTGGGCTTAGGGCTTTGGTATGTTTGATAATTAGACACCATATTCAAGGTGATATACAGAGTAAAAGATAGAAGGGTATGTGTCTACAAATATTAGTGAAAATATTGATATGTAAATGTGTAAAAATATTGTTTGATATATTAATATCGGTTGCATTCGATAGAAGTTAATGATGAAATTTGCTAAAAAACATGAACATTTAAAATGAAACTAAAGAGAATGTCACATGTTAGTTCGTTGATATATATTTAACCAATATGTCAAGAGTATCGACGAAATTTGTTGATTTTCGTCAAAATTTGACTTCGAATCTTGTGCAGTTTAAACGTCATTCCCTTTTCATATTTTTATCTGATTTTGTCGATATTTTCATAATGACGAGAATATAAAGAGACAATAACAAGTGGATAGCCAACGGGCCCAACACCTAAAGTCAATGATGCATTTCCCACAATAAATTAAACATGCTCACCTTTCACCCATTAAATGAGTAAAGACTTTCCAAGTCTTGATGGTCAATCTTTGTGATCCTTCAGAATTAGCAGATGAAAAGAACGGAAAGGAGCTTTAGTGAGGGAAGAAACATGGGTTCTGGACTTGCTTTCTGGACCTCCTTACTTCTGCTGCTACTGCTTGTTATGGTAATATTTACTTCATTCCCTTAGTTTTTTTTCTCTCTTTAATTTAGTATTGTTGAATTACAAAAGAATTATTAGAAATTAGTTGCAGTTTTCAAATTTTCATGTCTTATTTTCTCTTCCATTTATTTATGCAGTGTGCTCAGGGAATTGAGGGCAGGAAGATGAGTGAAAAACAGTGGGAAAAAACACATACGGAGCATGTTCATGCTCATCCATCATCTCACATGGATCACATGGACCCTTCACATATGATTTTCTTCACCTTGAAGGACCTAAAGCTGGGGAAAACAATGGCCATCTATTTTCCAAAAAGAAACCTTTCAAAATCTCCCCCCTTATTGCCAAGAGAAGAAGTCGATTCAATTCCCTTCTCATCAAAACAGCTCCACCACCTTCTTCAATTCTTCTCCTTCTCTCAAGACTCTCCCCAAGCCAAAGCCATGGAAGATACTCTTAGACATTGTGAAACTGCACCCATCAAAGGAGAGATCAAGTCCTGTGCTACTTCCTTAGAATCCATGCTTGATTTCGCACGCGGCGTCTTCGGATTCGACAACCGTTTCAGTGTTGTAGCCACAACCCATCTCACCAATTCAACTACCCTCTTCCAAAACTACACGATTTTGGAAGAGCCTAAAGAGATTTTCGCCACAAAGATGGTAGCTTGTCACACCTTGCCTTACCCTTACGCAGTTTTCTACTGTCACAGCCAAGAAAGCAAGAACAAGGTTTACAAAGTTTTATTGGGTGGTGAGGATGGAGATCGAGTAGATGCTGTTGCTGTTTGCCACATGGACACCTCTCAGTGGAGCCCTAATCATGCTTCATTTCATGTGCTTAAGATTAATCCAGGGTCTTCGCCTGTGTGCCATTTTTTTCCTGCTGATAATCTTGTGTGGGTTCCAACATCCACTTCAATGTAATATTTTAATTTTAATGCAGGAGTCTGTTGGTTTTTTCTCACTAAGTTTATGCTAAAATGTTATGTAATTTGAATAAAGTTAAAAGGTTAAACTTCTTTGGAGTTTGTTGAATTTCATCCAAGTGACATTATTTGTTCATGGGTAATGCTAGGGAGATCAAATTTTTTAAATTAAATTTACAAATTTAATGATGTTGTTGATGATTGGATTATTACATAAGCATTGATTAAGGTGCTTATTTTTTATCGGTAACACATCATTTAGTTTGTAAATTTGGATTAAAATTTTGGTTTCCTATGCATTACTCTTTGTTGATTTCATTCTTCCTGAAAATTCACCAATGTTAGTGGAAACAGTCAAAATATATACAGAGAAGAAAAAAAACCATTAATTTACAGTAAATAAGCAATTTTTTAAGAGTTTTTTTTTTTTTACTGTAAAAGGGAATTTTGAACGACTTATTTGTGAACAGTCCAATTTTGTGACACAATGAAATTTCAATAGAAAAAAATCCTAACTGAAAAATGAAACGAAGTAGGGTAGATATGCAAGAGGCTGAAAATTAGTTGTCAAATTAAATAGAGTTTAAATTCCTAACAGGAAAATGAAACGATCTAAGGTAGAAATGCAAGAGGCTGGCTGTCTAATTAATTAGAGTTTAAATACATTTATAAGGAAAATAGAGAAATTCCTGACAGAAAAAATGAAACGAATTAGGGTAGAAATGCAAGAGGCTGAGAATTAGCTGTCTAATTAATTGGGGTTTAAATTCTTAACTGGAAAATGAAACGAATTAAGTTAGAAATGCAAGAGGCTGGCTGTCTAATTGGGTTTAAATGCATATGTATCAAGGACACAGTAAACTACTGAAAATAGAAAAATTCCTAACTGGAAAATGAAACGAATTAGGGGTCTTCAATTCTGGGTCTCTTGTTTTCACTCAGTATTATGGTCTGATGATATTTTTTTTATTTGTAAGTAAGAGGTCTTAGGTTTAAATGTCGTAGATGGCGAATTTGATATGAAATTAGATTATCCTTTGTGTGGCTTAATCGAACTCCCTCATTTTCTTAATGTAAAATATAGCGTTGTATTAAAATAAAAAATAAAAAAATAAAAAAAAATTCTAGGTCTCTTGTTGATTTCCTCTTCCACGTAAAGATAAGTACTCTTGGCACAAACAACAATGCTTCTCCTGCAGTTTCAGTCAACAACAATTCGCTATGAAATGTAGTAAAAAACTGAAATATGGCAACCATGCAGAAAATTTTCAATGTTTGAGGCAGTTGCATGGTGAGCAAATGGAAAACATGCATAAGTTTTTCAGCATTTGAGGCTGTGTTCTCGTTAGCAAATGGCAAACATGCAAGAAGTAATTATTTTCCTTCGTCCACTTATATTATACTAAGTATTATATTACCCAGTTCTCATACACTCTCATCCTTTCTTATTTTGCGCGATTACGGTTAAGTCACGTCAACATTTTATATTAATTTTTTTTTTTATAGAGATAATAAGATAAAAAAAAAATACTAATATAAAATATAAACATAACTTAATCGTGACCACACAAATAAAAGGGGATGAAAGTTTATGGAAACTGAGAGAGCAGAGAAGCCAGTTCCCATAAAAATTTCTCCTTCTAGTGAACTCAGTCAGTCAGTCAGTGCCTTTGGAAGCATGCATTTGAATTAATTTTTTTGGTCTAATTACGAATAATTGAGCACTGACAATGGAGAACATTCAGTCTCAAAGAGCCTCAAATTTTTTATCGAGCGTCCCAACACTACAAAGTTCCAATTGATCCCACCTCTAGTTTCTCTCAAACCCTTCAACTCATCCTTGATTTTATTTTTGAACGGCTCATAATTAAGAGTTAGTTTTTGTCTTAAATCACTTTTTAAGGATTTTTCATGTTAAAAATGTTACTTTTACTATCTATGTATACCATAATTTGTATTATCTCTTCATGTGTTAATGGACTCTACTTTTATTAGAGAGATATTACAAATAGTTGACTAGTTTCACATATAAATTAAAGTTCTCTTGAGAACATTAGTTTCTATTTTTTTTTTCCTTTAACAAACGATATTATCTATATTAACGAGAAAGGGGAGGTTAAACTCACAATGAACTAGCAATAATATGTTTCAATTCGTCTTTACTTTCCATTTTAAATTAGAGATATTTGCTAATCACGTCTCCCTTTTGAAGTGAAACTTATCATCAAATTTTTAGGGCATATCACATGTAAAATTTAGAACAAAAAACTTAGTATCAAATAGTTTATAGTTTAGAAGAAAGAAAACCAAATAATTTGATAACGGCGAAAAGATTTTACGATACTAATAATCAAATTAAAACATTGACAAATTGATCATATAAAATGTTCTTTCTTTCTTCTCCAGTTGAGCTCTTGAAGTGTTTTGTATAAAAATTACAATCTTGAGGTGCTTTTTCAAATTTTTTTATTCTTCGCCATATCTCCAAAGGGTACTATGAGCTGAATATATATTGTTGAATCATTTTTCGAAAGTTTATAATTTTGGAGTACAGTGATTATCTAACATGGTGTCGGAGATACTTATATAGTCTATTATCTGTCATTCATAGGTTCTATATGAGTGATTGGAATTTGTGATAATAATTAAAAAATGTAGAGAAGACATGCCTCTTTTGTTCATGATTCTTTCTACCGTACTTGCTATTTAAACATACATGAATGAACAATATTTCAACAGGGGAGCACAAACGGCTAGCCTTTTTGATAAAAAATGGGCAAGTAGGAATGATTACTCTTTGATATTTAATTGCAGAAATGTCGTTCTTTTGTGATCGAAGTCTTATTTTGATCAAGTTCTTAGGTTAGATCAAGTGAGGATACCGAAAGGGATTCACTCTTACCACGGATAGAGGATACACGCAGAATATTCAGCGATATTGTTTGTGCAAAAGAATCTCAACTTGACGGCTATGGGAATATGGGTTGGGCTCTTTTTTTTGGCGTCGATATTAGAAAATATCATTTAAAGTAATCATTTAGTACTACGATATAGTGATATTCATCTTATCAAAGATAATTTTGAATTATATTATTATTAGCTCATTGTGAGACTTAACCCACCTCTTTTCTTAGTGTACATAATATCGTTTGTCAAAAAATAAATAAATAAATAAATAAAGGTGTATAATAAATAGATCCTTGAAATCTCAGCCCTCTTGATCTGATATTTGGAAAAGCCAAAATTTCCATTAGATGTGACTTCTTCAACCCATGCTACTAACAAGCAATGGTTTCTACTGTTAATTATGCATCTTTCACACAGTTACTAGATGCCTTTGGCAAGATGGCTAAAAGCACACAAAATAATTTCAATAATTCTAACCTGAGAAATTCAGCACAAATCAAAGGTGATGGAAATTCAACACTACTATGAATATATAGTACAAATGAGAGAGAGAGAGAGAGAGAGAGAGAGAGAGAGAGAGAGAGAGAGATCTATTTTTATTTCAAACTTGGTCTAATATATAGATCATAGCACAGGAAAACATGTTCCCCATCATCATCCTAAATCTGATTTAGCCATGGTTGACTGTTTGAATGTATGATGCTTTCTTGAAAAAGGGCTTATTTTCTGCAGGTCGATCCTGATGATGATGATGATGAGCGCCATGGTATATAATAACATTAGGCCTCATGTCAAAGTCCCTAACAAAATGTCTGTTTTCTGTCGACGGCACTTGATGATGATGAGCACCATGGTATATTATAGCATTAGGCCTCATGTCAAAGTCCTTAACAAAATGGCTCTTTTCTTTTGACGGCACTTGATGTTCATGTTCTTGATGGACAAACAGGCCTTTAATGGCTTCTGGCATGGGCTGGTCATTCATCACACTCTTCCAGTAGTCTCCCGAGTCTTTTCTTGCATAGCTGTTCTGGGACATCTATATAAGTTCCATTAACAAAGGATTAATTAGTTGAGAATTAAATCAAAGTATTATATTAAGTTTAAAAATTGATGAACGAATTCGATCGATATGAAACTTGCTTACCAAGAGGATGGAGGACAGAATTAGCAGAAAACAACAGATGGAGAACTTCATCTTGGCCAACTGAAGAGAACACACACTTGCTATATTTTAAAACCTCGGCTCTTACAACTCTGGAACTCTCTGGCTACTTGACCCGTTACCCTTTATAGGCAGCTTACATTAATAGTTAATATTTTGAGAGACAAATGCAATTTGGCCGAACTTGTGACCCTCCAATGAAAAACAAAACCCTTTAAGTACTTGTTTCCCTGGCTTTTGGTTTTTTTTTTTTTTATGTTTTTTTTTTCGTAAAATGGCTTTTGGGCTTTTCTATTATGAGCTACGTAACTACGTTTGGTACGCGGAAAGACAGCTTGAGAACAAAAAAGTGTTGTATTCGATTAGGACTATAATCACATAAACTATAGATAGAGATTTACCCGTAATTGTTGTTTACATTTATTCTCTATTCTTCTCACCAAATTTTGTTTTTTCACATTTTCTATTTTGAAAACATGATCTCTTAGGGGGTGCAAGAAGATGAATGGTTCAAATCGTTGATATTATGTGCAAAGGTGTACCAATAGTGAAGATATAGCTCGAAGTTTATAAAGTCCATAGAAACTATATAATATCAACTCAAATTTTAGTTAACCGTAAATATCAGAATGTCATATCAATGATTCGAACTGTTCATTTTTCTACATCCGTTAAATGATCACTTTTCAAAAAAGAAAATCTAAAAAATGAAATTCGGGGAGTAGAATAAAATGTAAATAATAATCGACGGTTAAATTTAAATATAAGGTTTATGGATTAGTATCGGATTTCGGATTTGACACTTTTACGAAAGTTGTAAAACTTGTCATTACGAGTAATTGTCTATGTGTGTGTATATATATATTACATTTTTCACACTTCTACAATAATTATTATTAATTTTATTAATTTTGCAATCTTATAAAAAAAACACCATTCATGAGATTTTGATGGTTTTAAAAATCTAAACAACAAGGTAAACATCGTCTAAGCTTAAAGGATCACGAGTGTTTATATATGA